TATTATTAAATAAAATTTTATTTAAATATTTTAAAATTTAAAAAATATAGATCATAAGTATATTTTTAACAATTTTTCAGACAAATTTGTTTGAAAAAGCTTACAGACTAAGGAATAAGATTTTTTATAAAATGTAAATCTGTTTTTAGTATAATATTGTTATCTTTTTTTTATTATGCTAGTTTAGTAGTATATAATTTTTAAATGCAATTATATATTTTTTGTGATATTTTAATAAACAGTTTGGTAGTTATTATAGTAGCTATTTTTTTAAAATGTAGTATAAGATTTGATTGTTTTAATTAGATCTGTTAATACATATTCTTGCAATATTATATATATACTAGTTTGTTTTTATTAAATATTATTAAATAATAAGCTGTTATATTAGCTTAATAAATAATATAATTGTTGTAATAAAGTTGTGTAATATTTAATAATAAGTTATTAATAATTTTAGAAATTGGTTCTGTAATAATGCTAATAAGATTTGTTATACTGTTACAAAGTAGATTTTAGTATAATAGTATTAGTAGTTATATATATATATTTATTATTTTATATTATATTATATTTATTATTAATTATTAGATAGCTAATAGTTATATTATATAGTAAATAGCTAAAAGGAACTTAATTGGCTATTAGAAATATAGTACAGACACATGATACTAAGTAATATTTGTAATATTACTATCATCTTACAAACCCCAAGTACTTCTGTACAAGTTTCATGTATCCTACTAGGTATTGGAAACCAATAAGGTCTGAAGCAAACTATTTTTAATAATCTATATAATACAATTATACAAATATACAAAAACAGACAAATATTATATAATTTAAAATAATAATAAACTTATATAAAAAGATTTTTAAATTTTCAAATCAGAATATATTAGAATTCTGATTTAATGGTTCAAAATTAACTAATTTTATACAAAATTTTACTAATAAAGTATTTAAGTAGATATTTTTTATTAATAAATAGATTAATTACATAATTAAAATATCTTTGTATTAGGAAAATCCTGAATTTTAATTTTAAAACTTTAGAATTGTAATATATACAACCTTTTTTATATGTTTTATATAAAAAAAATAATATAATTTTATACTACAAATTTTTACTTTGAAGTCAAAACTAGTTAGTATAATAAAATTTTGCTATTGCAATATTTTGCAAAATTTTAAGTTTTTTTTGTTTGCTTTATTACATGATATTCTGCAATATTATTGGTTTTAGACTCAAATTTAGAATTAGAAATAATCTGCAACCCTAAGTCAAAGTAGACTGGAATTGATAATTTTGCTCAAAATCACTCAAAATTTTACTATTAAAGCAACAGCCCACTTACTAAATAAAGTTGTTCAGATAATAATTTTGCTATAATATAGTTGACTGGTATTATTGCTTAGTGCCGGCCTAGCTCTAATGAAATCAACAGAACTTAAAACGCCAGTTTAAAAAATTTAATAACCAATCAATTTCGAGATCAAGTGTAATCAGGGTTGGCAATGAAGTTAATGAAGTGCCAATGGATAATATCATTTCATGTAATATTGAACTCTATTGCCAACCTTGGGTGTAATGTAAAAATAATAACTCAATTTTGACTATGAAACTGCCTTCAGTGTACTAACAAAAAGTTTTCCTTGTGAAATTTTCGCATAATTATAACTCTAATCTAATATTGAATTGTTTTTTTAGTGACATGATGTGTTAAATTTTTTGGACTGTATTATGATCTGATCTGCTGAATTTTGGTTGCACCATAATCTAACTTTTATTTTGGTCAAATCACTTTAAGAATATAGCATTTCACAAATGAAAAACAAAAATTCAAGCATTAACACTTACCATTACTATGCAAAAAAAAAACCAAAAGAAACCACATTATAGAAGTATCTTACTTAAAAGGTGAAATTCATATCATATATTATAATCAAGCTATACTGAAAACTATTGACTTGTTAAATAAAATAACTAGTAATTTTTTTTTAAAATCGCTTACTAAGCTACATACTGTACAAGAAATTCAGAATACAAAAAATGCTTAATACATGAAAACAGAGGTACTTTACAATAAAAAATGATTAAAACTTTAAGACTTTAAGAGAGTTGATAATATTACTATCTTCGAATAATTAGTATTTTAAAACACAACTTGATTGGCTAATTGTCACAGATTAGACAAGATGACCGATTATAAATAGTTATCAGGCAGGCACTGCCAGATAACAGGTACCCTTATGTTCAGAAAATCCCAGGCTAAAGATCACTTCCGACCCTATCCAGTTCCAATAAAATCACAGGATCGTGTGTAACAAAACAAATGCGAAAAACATCAGAAATTGTAAAAAAATGTAAATAACACAAAAATTTACTATAATAACTAACTTCCGACCTCTAAGTAAAAGTTTTCAGAATGAAATTTTACTTTTAAGATACAATTGTTAATGTTAGATATATAGTGAATTTTTGAGATACTATGACTCATATTCTTTTGGCCGCAGCTCGGAATTTTCTGGACATAAGGATATCCCCAGATAACAGGTTTATCTGGCAGCTTATTATGATTTTCTGCTCAATAATAAAATTATTGGGCAGATGCAAAGTTTAAACTATTTTAAACTATTTTAAACTTTCGTTTCTGCCCAATAATTTTATTATTGGGCAGATAAATCATAGTAAACTGCCGGATAATAGAGTTATTCAATTTCATGTGATCAACCAATCACGAAAAAATTAACATATAGATTGATATACAGATATAACGATTATGATTTGAGTGCACTCATTTAAGGAGGGAACATCGATGTTATACGACTGATCCTTCACACGGTGTCAACATATAAAAAAATTATTTTACAATACCAGATCATTCATTTTTATTATAATAAAACGGTGTTGGAAACATGAATAGCGATATTGTAAAATATTTTTTATATGTTGCACCGTGTGAAGGATCAGTCATGTAACATCACGTTTCCTCCTACTTGTATGACTTACCTCATTGTTAAATCTAGATTTTTTTTTTTTTTATTTCAAAGTTAGCATTTGGACGAAATTTAAATATCAGTTATGATGAAGAATTTTTCGTTAATACGGAAAAAAAGGTATAAAATCTAATAATTTGATGAAATGTCATGTCACAAAAGGGTTAGCAGCTAAATTTTCTTCTGCTTTATTCTTTTTATGAACGTAAAATAATAATAATTACTATTTGCCGATATACAAAATTTTCAAAATCACATGGGTCCGATTTGAGGAATCATGGAACTTAGTCATCCTTCCTCAGCCATTCTTTCTTGTAGCCTTTTGCAAGTTTTGATACGTTGAAGTCTATCAAGTGAAAATGGTCTAAAAAGGATATTTCTGAGAGCACAGGCTTGGGAAATTGCTACAAATGAAATGCCGGCAGCATACTCCTTTTTCCCGAGATCTATTACGGCCTTTTGTAATGTTAACCCTTGGCTCTTATGTACAGTAATAGCCCATGCAAGAATAACAGGGACCTGCATTCACGAGCAGATTCCTTTTTTTCCTTCCTAGGTATGTCTGATGGGTGAAATTGGGACAAGTTTTTTACCTTCTATAGTCGTAATAGCAGGACCAGCGTAATTATCAAACTCTATTAGAAGTGCAATGGGAAGGAAGGGTGGGCCTTGATTTTCTCCAAATACGATTCTTGGACAATGCCCATTGAGCCGTTCACTAATCCTACTTCTGTCCATAAGTTAGCCCTGAGCATAACACGTGCACCCCTTGCTAAAAATAATTGTGCCTCAAGGCCTTTTGCTGTATCATAATCAGCTTTACGTGCTTCATTGCCACCTGTGTGAATGGCATTAATTCTAGCAATAGGGCAGTTCAAAGTTTTGAGTTTGTTGACGTTAAATTCGTTAACGTCGATTTTCCAGGGAAAGATGCATATGGCATCTGAGAAATGATCTTGTTCTGGAGATAAAATAGTTGGTGAATCAATAAATCGCGCAGCAAGTACTTTCCAATCAGCTACTGTAGATTCACCATCACGTAGCTGCAATAGAATATCTCTGAAATTACGTTGCTCTTCCGAATCTCCTGATTGACACTGAACTATATCAAGTTTATAGGCCTCTTGGAATTGTTTATACGTAGTAATACCGTCGTTTGATAATAGATCATGTCGGAAGGTTTGCGAGTACATAGGCTCATCAAGCACTGGAGGAAGTTGACCAAAATCGCCAACAAGAATAACTGACCGATTACCAAAGGGCTGATTTTTATGTTCAGGGAATGCTTGGCATAGTCGCATATCAACTAAAGCAAGCATTCGATGCCCAACCATACTTTTTTCGTCAATGACGAAATAGTTCACACCGTTTAGTCTTTTCTGTAGTTGTTTCAATCGTTCACCGTCTATATCTAAATTAGCACTTCCTATTGGAATTGAGAGTGCTAAATGGATCATTGTCCTGTGAATATTGAACGCTGCGATTCCAGTTGGCACAAATACAAGCACAGGTAATTGGGTATTGACATTATAAATCCTTGCCATTTCTTGGAGACGATCTCAAATAATTTTAATTAGATGCGATTTTCCTGTTCCCGCAGTTCCCATTATGATAAGTCTGAGTGGTTCAACTTGGCTAGGATTTACAATCAAGTCGCTATAATGAGACTCAATTCGCTTGAATATTGCCAATTGTTTCTCATTTAAAGTATGTGAATTTTCAACGCAATTAGCGACTGAGTTTTCATTATTAATAGTGCCAGAAGTGCGAGCTTGTTGTATAAAGTTAGCCATGTTTGCAAAATTAAGATCGGAATGGTGCCATCTAACATCGCCAACCCAATCGTAATTTCGATCAATATCATGTGAACCCAACCCAGAAGAATTCTCAATAATTACATTTGGTCCCATCTCTGATAAGATCATCCACTCAAGTTGCATCTCTCTTTCTTGTTCATCACCTTGTTCATCCTCGTTTTCTTCATTAACAAACTTGTTTTCCAAGTTATCTACAGGGAGACCAAGTAAATCAGCGTGCACATTTTCAATCTCTGCATGGTGCTTATTAAAGAGGTCTGACCATAAATCAGTCTTGTTTTCAGTTAATTGGTTAAGATTTCTATGACGAACATGAAGCAGAACCTTTATACAACAAAATTCTTCCCATTGAGGACCATTACGCTTAGGTGATGGTCGTGGCCAAATTCGTACTATATTTTCACACTTGCATTCTTTCCACTGATTGTTCCAAAAATTATATTTTAAGTAAAGCTGAAAGAGCGAAAAGTCTTCAAGTTTAATAGGTCGACTCCAATACTTTTGCAGAGGTGACTGTACAGTTCGCCCAACTTCACTATTTACTGAAAAGTTTTCTTCATTCGTATATCCAGTGCCATAAAGCCATCGCGGAGCCTCTTTGTTAAGATTCAAAGTAACAAATCGACGGCTTGAGTGGTAAAGGGGAATACTGAGAAGGAGATGGCATGTCTCTTGAGCAGAAATATCACGCTCTGCAATAGTATGGAGCAATAATTTCTGAAACACGCCAAGTGATGAATCGCCAGGTCTACTATTATTAAGAATCCGATTTAATATATCTGAGAAAGCAGCAGACCGCGGTTCTGATTTACTTGTGTATTTTGATATGTATTGAATAGTGGCATTCATGTTTAGAATCGGTTTTAAGTCGACATTCGCGCGCCAGCCCTGAAGCTGAAGTCGATTATGTGGATTAATGTAGGGATCGTTCCTTGCCATTATGAGCTCAGGTTGACCATTATTGTCACGTAAGTATGTGCTTTCTGTTGTTTCTTTTGGATATCCAAACCTGCAATTTTGTTGGCCTGTAGAGTTTACACGAAGACAATATGAAGGACTGCAACGTGTATGTCATTGCAGCTTGTTAACTAACTCTATGTAATCCTGTAGGTCATCATACATTTCATCAGGGCGTTTCTGGCAAGAATGATGATTAGGTACAGGTGCGTCAAGCCCAGGATTAATCGTAGTAACCAATGAATCTAAATATTGCACCACATTACTCATTGTCTCCTCATTCTCTTTCATTCTTTCCCATTCAATAATTGGTGCATCTTGTATTTTCCCAATACCATGTATATGAGTGCTGCCACGATGTTGCCACTCAAACCTATACCACCAGTCCACAAGTTTCCATTTAGGAATCAACACTTTTCTAGGAATAATTTAAAGCGTTTTTCAAAAAACCATGCAGCAATATGTGGATTGTCGATTAAGTCTTGGTGTCTTTGTTTGCTCGTATCTAGTTCCGTTACTGGGTTCTCGCCATGTGGCATAAGCTCGTGAAGTTCTGGCCAATGTAGATCAGCAGCGCTGAAAGTAAAAAAAACCATCCCTTGAGACCCCAACTGCCTGATCATGTCCATAAGTTCAGACCGTCTCTTGTTCCAAAACTGCCGAGTTCCATGCAAACCCTCACCGAATCGTACGATCTTATCTGCCATACAATTATTATTATCTGCCATCTCTTGAACATCTTCAACGTTAAGCTGCTCCCCATTTAAACTTTGTTTGACATATACTTTTCCCTCTTGAAGTGCCCTCCATCGCATTTGCGAATTTAGCGCAAAGTACCTCCACCGAGCATGTTGTGCAAACCTTCCATCTTTGTATTTTAGTAGATGCGAGAAATATCCAGCTGGCTTAATTTTTCTTACATGTTCTGACTGAAGATTGCCATCTCCAGTTGGATACAAAGTTGGGAATGCACATGCAATATACCCAGGAGTTTGGAACTCATTAATAGGATTTCCATCTATATTCAGCCACATAATAGGAAGGTTACTAGCTTGCATTCGACCAAGAGTATCGGCGATAGCACTTTCTTCATTAAAAGACAGAAGAGGTGCAGGAACGAAGTTGCTAGTTATTATGTCTTCGTCTTCATCATCATTATTATCAAAATATTCGTCTTCTACATCTTCAAGTTGGGGGAGCTGATCATCAACAGGACCATTGTCAGGTAAAGATCGTAATATTTCGTTGTTAATGATAATATCAGCGTAATAACAGTTGTTTGCTTTTAACCAATAAAGTGCACGGGTAACTTTAACGCGACGGACGTTGAAATCTCTGAACGCTGAACTATTCGCAGATTGACGACGTACAACAAGAATATCCAACGATGAAGGATGTCGAGGGAGTCAAGTTGTAAACTCTGATACATCTTGTGGAAAGTTGATAACATTGCCACGGTATGCATACTGACCCCCACGAAGACGATACACAGAAACGACAGAAAAAATTTGCGCAATTAACATCTTCTCTATCTCAGTAAGCCCTTGTAATTCCTCAGGTACATCACCCGGGTCCATATTGTTTTCTTTGGAGAATTTTTTTATCACATTCTTATCATAATAGCAATGACGGCAGCATTCTTCCTTTATGAGCTCAATAGATGGAAAGCGCTCGTTACATACAAGACAAAGTGTATTAGTAAGTTTATTAATTTCTGCGCGAAAATTTTGTAATAGATTTTGGTCAGATTCGGCAAGAACGGAAAGTGGTTCTACATGAGGTATGTTAATATTTTGGTTTGAGACTTCATTTTGGTGATTGAGATGTTCATTAACACTTTCTAAAGCATGCTTCGTTCTTTTTTGTCGTTTTCGTTCACGGTCTCTTCTGAGACGCGTCTCACGCTTTTTTACAGTTTCTTTTCCCCTTTCCTTACATTTATTTTCTCGATCGTCAGCGCGATGCTTTTCATTTTGGTTAGGAGTTTCATTTTCTCTGCTAATATGTTTTCGAAGTGTATCTCGATATGGCAGAACTTGTTGAATATTTATTTTTTAGATATATATTTTTTTCTTTATTGCATTTTTTTAAGCGATTGATCAATACTAATGGTTTTTTAAGCAATTTATTACAATTATATTTTTAAGCAATGATATTTTTAAGTGATTTATCAATGGCATATGATGATTGATTTTTGTTAGCAGTTGGAATAAGATGTGATATGGTAAACAGGATCACGCTCGATTTTAATTATAACATCCTATGCTACGCTTTGGACAATCAATATAAATTGAATATTATACGGTAAAATCTGGTAATTTTCTTTTTTTTTTTTATTGCAAGCGATTTCATATTGTCTGTATTGGGATTATACTCAATTTAAAATATCAGCTACGTTTATTTTATGTATTTTTTAATATGACTAACTTCCGTAATAATAAACATCCTGTAATATTTCAATTTTAATAAATTGAAATTTATTATTGTAAAATATTTAAATTCATAAGGCTGTACAAAATCATTCATTTGTTCTCGGGAAGTTTAAAAGCGACACACCAACCCACTCTTAAAAACCACCTGGGAATTTTACAGCTGTTCTTATAAATTTGGATAAATTGACCGAATGATTATTTGGTGATTTGTTAAGTTTTTTAATTCGGCAACGATAAACCTTGATTTGAGGCATGATTAGTATATATACAATAACGATATATCATAGCGATAGTATTCTGAACGATATTACATTCAAAATTAAATTTTCGCTTGAATTCATGTCCCGCATGTTTGGTGTGTTTGGTCTGTACGAATTTATAGCGAAGATTGCTTTTGCCAACCAATAGATCTTAACAAAAGATGTAAAAAAAGGTTTCAAGTATAAGCTTTTACTGTTAGATATAAACAAGGATTTATTGACTGGATTAAAAAAAAAAAATAACATAAACTATATTTCCAAACAACCACATCTTTATTAATATTTGTCAAAACTACGTTGTAGAGATGATAAAAAAAAAAAACCAGCTTTTAACCATTTTTTCACCAACTTAAAACAGGTAATAATTAAAGCCTGAATAGTTAATATTTTAAGACAATCATTGTTTTTTTAATTAGAAACTTCACTCGTATTTATCTAACTGCTACTTAGGTAACTTCTAAAATGTTAAATTAGTGCGCAGGGTATAATTATAAAGATCGTTAGTATTAAATTTTGAAACGTTAAGATCTAAATTTACTTCTTCTTAGCTGATGTTTTTTTATACTTATATAATATTTGTCGGGATTTGGGACGAATTAATAATGTATATAGCTGGTAATAGTAATAAATAGTAATGTATATAACTGGTAATAGTAATAATGTATATAACTGGTAATAGTAATAAATAGTAATGTATTTGTCTTTTACATATACTCGCCAACAAAACTCTTGGGGTTTGCATTTGTGTGAATTTAATTAAAAATGGGATTTCGTAAAATTCAATATAAAAGTGTATAAATAAAATACCCGGGCCAATAGTTTACATTAATCTGATCAAGCGATTTGGTTGGCCATACACGTGGTGTGCGAATTTTTATTGTTTTCCTTTTTTTAGTTATGTTACACCTGATCTAGCAATTTTATTGGTTATTACATGCGTGCGGACAGACAGACATTGCATGATTTGGTGTAGTAGTATAACGTCCTATGCTACGCTTCAGACAAATACCAAATTACTGTGCCAAATACCATAATACAAGAATTTCAAGTATCTCTAATACAAACCTTAAGTATTCTTACACAAATTTCAAGTGCCTTTGCACAGATCCAAATGCCTAAATATGAGCTTCAAGTGTTTTAAGCATAAATGACAAATAACATAAACAATTTTTTCAGTTGCCTCTGCACAATTCCTATTACTTCAAGCAAAGTATTATTTAATTTTATTCAAACCTCTACTGTTCTAAGTATAATGATATCTAATGTTGTTCAAACTTCTATTATTCTGAGTACAGTATCAAGTAATATTGCTCAAATTCCTACTATCTCTGCTAGGTAAAAAGATATATAAAAAGTACCTTTTACTCTTCTTTGCTAATTCTAAATTCCTATACTTTGATCTAAATTTTTTTATCTTTACCTCTAACTTGTAAAAATAATATTCTCTCTCTAGAGTAATTTCTACAAACAAGATTGTCACTCTATGTTTATTTAATAAAGTTAATCTATATATTGTTACTGTTTTGAACTATTTGCTTGCTGCTATGTAGTAAAGTAAACTATTACACATTTATTCTGTATATATTTGTAATAGTCAATCTCTGTACTAGGTAACTTTGTTACTTGATTGTATTGTATTAAGAAGACTACAACCTTGTAACATTTTGATGCCTTCTGATAGAAAGCTAAAAACTATTACAGAAAAGCTAAAAGTATCCCAAAAAAGAAACAGAAACCTCTTTTAAGAAAACTACCTCAGAAAGTAATTCTCTCTTTAGAAAGGATTTTATTTTAAAAGTAACAATTATAAATAAGCATTTTTGAAATTTTGGAATTATTATTTTAAATATACCTTTACTAACTCAAATTGAATTAAATTATTTTGTATTTTGCATTTTGTATTTTGTATTTTGAAATTGAAGAAGTTTGTGCTTTTATCTTCTATCTTTGAATTTTTAATTTTTGATTTTAATTTTTGATTTTGATATTACTTACCAGCTAATAAATATATTTTGAATTGTTTAAACTTGTGACTTAATTAATTGAATTCTTTACTTGCTAGCACTATTATTTTAGATTTATTCTGCTTATTTTTTTTATTTTATTTTATTATTTTATTACTTATTAGTACTAATCCTTTTTGAAGAAATTTATTTTATGAGAAATTTTTTTACTTAATTTTATTTAGAAAATATTTAAAAACACTAACAGGTTTATAGTAAAAAACTCTTTTTTGCTACAACTATATTGCAAACTCTTGCAATTAATTTATTTTGCCTATAGTATTATCCATCTTCTAACCTTTGTAGATGCTTTGCTGAATTTAGACTTGGTATTTTGAAGACTACCAAGCTATTTCTTTTAGTAAGGTTACTACTTCTAACTTTTTAAAATTAGCTATTGCTATATGCTCATTTGCTTGACTTGCAGCTAAAAACATTATTCTTAGTTGTCATTATCAGAACCAGATAACTAACTCTCAAGATATTGTATAAGGTATTTTTCAAGGATATACTTTTTTATTATTTAAAACTATTAATTACCTCTAACTAAAGAACTCTATTTGATATTTTATTAATAACCTAGTTAGAGCTCAACAACATATTAAAGCTTTACAAGCTGCTGCATTAGAATCAGCACAAGTTTTTGAGAATGAAACTAGTGCATCTACTTCTTAGCAAACATTACAAAAAACTAATATTATTGTAGAAAAATCTGTTATAACTTCTACTTTTCTTATTACTGCTATTGTTACTCCTATTCAGACTTTAATATCTATTGCAAACCTTAGCTCTTTAGTTCTATATAGTGAAGATCTAACTAGTAGACATTATACCTATTACTAACCAAATAACCTATCAAAAATAGGATTATTACCTTCTCTTTTTATTCAATCAGAAGCTTTACAAGAAAGAGAAATTACCCAAGAACCTTTTTATACTCCTACTTGACCTTCTTATTTCTCTCAACTTTTAACTTTAACTATACCAAAACCATTTAATAGATTTGCTAAATTTGTAACCAAAGGAATTAAGCTTCTTTTACCTTATTCTGGTATTAAATCAAGCACTGAAAAAACTTCATATATAATAACTGAAAATTTCACTACAACTGAAAAAGACATCTTTTCAACTTTTAACTTACCAGAAACAACTAATTATCCTAAAATTGTAACTATACAACCTATTATTAAAGTATTATTTGATCATCAACAACCTATTGATTTTGAAAACTTTGTCTAAGATCTAAAAACTCATACCAAGAGAACAAACTTTATCTATTAAAGATCTTAATCTGTTAACAAAACAAGACTACTCTGAGGAAACAGAATTTTTAAAAAAACAACTTTTATTAAAAGAAGAAGAGCCAAAAATAAAGGCCTGCATTGGGTTCTGCAGTATAGCCTAGCCTGGCTTAGCCTGCAAATTTTTGTAAGCTAGGCTAGGTCTAAAGCAAAATTTTATAATTGCAGGCCAGGCCAGGCCAAAAAATTTGCAAAACTTTATAATTGCAGGCCAGTGCAGACCTAAAAATTTGTAAAATTATATAAGAAATTTTTGCAGACTGGGTCAGGATGGGCCAGGCTGAAGAAAAAAATTTAACATATGCAGGCCAGGCCGAGCTGGCAAAAAAACAATAACCCTAAATGTGGGCCAGGCCAGGTCTAAAAAAAATTTTTAACCCTAACTGTGGGCTGGGCTGGGCTTCAAAAATAGGCAATTTGCAAGTTTCTAGTCAGAAAGCTTAAATAAAACTATTACTGATAAACTTGACTCTAAAGATAAAAAAACTATAAACTATGCTATTGCTGCAATGAATAAACTAGTAGATACTTTTGAAGCTAAAGAAAAATCACTCTTTAAAATTGTACTATTTAAAAATAATAAAACTGGAGATTCAGTTAATTGGATTAATAAATTTTAACAAGCTACTATTGCCAATAAATAGACTGAATCTAGAAAACTTGCAATTATTCAGGCATATATAAAGAACAATGCAGAAGATTGGCTTAAAGAACTTGGAGATAACTATTTTAGTTATATAATAAAGATGATAATTCTTGATTTAAAACTTGATTCTTGAAGCAATTTAAAACAATCAAGAAAAAAGCTATATGGCAACAAGAATTTTTTAACTTTAAACAAGAAACCAATACTGTTAACATATACATTGCTTAGTTTAAAAAGCTTAAAAAAAAAGTAGATCCTAAAAAAGCTTTTTCAAATAATTTTATTATTCAACTTTTTATTAAAGAACTGCAATCTAAATATGCAATACCTGTATAAGCATTAGCATTTAAAATCTTAGCTGCTGCTATTGAAGAAGCAAAACATTAGAAACTAGGAAAAGTAATAGCCACTTCAGAAAAAAATAATGTTAATGATATTACCAAACAACTAGTCTAACTATATATTAACTCAGTCATGACTCAATCTCAACTAACATTACAAACTTAACAAACTTCACAACCTCACACAGCCTATACTGTAAAAAAAGAAAATAGCTTCAACTTCAGACCTAACTTTGCACAAAAAAGAACTCTTTGCTATTACTGTAATCATTCTAAACATTTTATAACAAATTGTAGAAAAAGACAAAATGAAAATCAAAGAATCAGAAACTTAGGAGGAAGAAAAACCAACAATAATAATTGCAATAATAACAATAAAAGAAACTATAACAACCAAAAAAATGATTATCAAAGAGACAAATGCAAAAGCAGATCCAGAGACAGAAACTATTTAGAAAAAAACAGATCCAAAAACAAGCCAAAAAAGATGAAGACCAAGATTTAATTGCTTACTTTTATCTTACTATCAAGATATAAATATAGCTAAAATACAAACTACTCTAAACACTAACAATTAGAAAAGATTATTAGACAACTACTCTATTAAAACTGCTTTTACTGCTTACATTATAGCAAAAAACCAAGAAATTACCAAATCTCATTATACTTCTACTATTACTTTTATCAAATGTTATATTAATATTCAAGACTGAATCTATCTTGCTATTATTAACAGCAAAGCCTTTGTTAGTATAATTTTCTATCAGACAGTAAAAGAATTAGAATTAAAAATAAAAAAACCATCCAAGAGCATTATTGTTACTGCTACTAGAACTACATCTAAACTACTAGAAATTATTAGAAACCTACTTATTAGAGTTTAAGGATGACTTATTTCTTTAGATATAAAAGTTATAATTGCTACTTCTTATTCATTACTATTAAAAAATGATTAGTTAAAGAAAGCAAAAGCTAACTATAACTAAAAAACTTTCTAATATACTATTTATTGAAAAAAAAAAATTGTTCTTAATACATCTTATAAGCAAGAACAACCTTAAAAAAAACAACTTACTTGCACTACTTCAAAAGATTTTGAATGATATGAGCAAGAAGACCTAAATTTATATAAAGACTATACCTTTTTTATAACTTCTGAAAAAGGAGATTATAATAAAGGATAGATCATATACTCTTAAAAAAAAAGAAACTATTTTGCATGTCACATTTGCAACAAGACCATTCACTAATATAAAAACTGTCCTAAAAATTAATGCCAACATTGTAATAAATATGGTCACCAACCTACCAACTGTCCTAACAAACCAAAAAGACAATTAGCTTGCAAGAATTGCAAACAAACTATTCATCTGTTCAAAGACTAATCAGAAAACTAATGCTATAGCTGTAATAAGTATGGCTATATAGAAATAAACTGCCTTATTGCTTAA